TAATTAATAATAAACTTATATAGTAAACTTAACCAAACAGATGATAAACTTGTATTGCAACAACTACAAAACATTACTCAGAGAAATTAAGACAAAGATTATAGAAAGATGGTGTGTTTTCATTCACTGAAATTATATTGTGATGTCATTATTAACCAAATCAATCTATAGGTTTGCAACATAATCAAAATGTTTTTGATATTTTTGAAAGAAATTGAAACACACAATTTTAAATTCAATAAGGAACCCAAAGGATCCCTGAATACCTGAAACAATCTTGAAAAGCACAAAATACAGAGATTCACAAATCCTGATTCAAAAAGTTACTACAGCGCTAAAGTACTCAAGTGCTCTGTATTGGCAGTGGAATTTTTACAAACCCCAGACAAAACATTTAAATATATGGTCAATTATTTTTGACAAGTTGGTCAAGATTTTAAAATGGGGAAAAGTCACTTTTCAAAAAATGATATTGCAAAACTAGACAAATGTAAAATGAGGTTGGAATTTCCCTAATACTGGGTGCAAAAATTGACTAAAAATAATTCCAAGACAAAGTTTATGTGAAATTACACATCTTTTGGTGAAAATTACACACCTTCTGGAGAAAAAGAAGAAAAATTTTATGACATCACACTTAACTATGCTTTTTTTGGATATGACAAATGAAACAGGCAAGAAGGAACAGATAGAGAAGTTGTATTAAATCTAACTTATCTAACCTTTATGAAAGCACTATTTTCTGTGTCTGCTCTATCTGTATATCAGGGCTGCAGGGATAAGAGACACTTGTGCTCTGATTGTAGTCATGCACACACACTCAAGTATCACGGCATACACACACACATATGAAGTTAGAGAGAGCTCAAAGTACACAATAATTGACTCTTTGTTATGGAAGTTGTTGCAGTTTGGGGTTTTGCAAGAGGAACAATACAATACAGGACACTTAATTGTAAGATTATTTTATAATAGTCACCCAAAGAGTCACATACAAAAACAGTGCGGGAAATATGTCCACATGCTAAAGACCAAAGAATCCAGCTGAGGTCCTGGATCCCACGGTAATGTACTGTGCGAGTCAACTGAGGACCAGCCCATAACAATGCCTCCTATGAGTCCAGCTGGAGGCATAGAGCCCACGACAACATCTCATGCAGGCCTGTTTCACGGATCTGCACTGGGAAGGCCCAAAGGTCAGTGGTGGAAGATAGAAAGTCTGACCACCAGTTGTCAATCCAGCATAGATGTGTAATTCATATTCTTGCAAGCAGTGAGCTGATATTTTAGAAATCTGTGCTACTGATTATGTCATTACAGATGCTCAGCTTTTCTGTGTATAAAAGTACTCAGCAAACAGTGTACATAGAAGTGCTGACATCATCACATAGTCACTCACAACCTTAAGGTCTGAGAGAGGTCCAATGCCACACAGAAGGACCTGTAAGACTTGAATAAAAATAAAATGATGGAAAGAAACGTGTCTTTCCAGCAGCCCCAGGCAGCACAAAGTTGACTCTGAGCCCTCAGAGATACAGGCTGCAGCAGCAGAGGAGCTGGAGCTGGGCCTTGTGGTGTGGATATGTGCATGCTTCGCCACAGGGTCAGCTCCTCTGGACACCCCCAGGAGCCCCGCTCTTTTCCCTCCTCCTCTCACTCCTGCTTACTTAAAGTGGCTGAAAGAAGGGCTGCTGCTCTTGTGCCTATGAAAAATGTTACCTGAATGATAGATGTCAGCTGTGTCCCCTCCCCTCAGTACCTTCCTTCCTTCCCAGCAGGAAGTGGACAGGTCACTGAGAAGGGTAGAGGCAGGTGGAGATAAGACAAATGCTATGTAGGCAACTCTGCCTAGCTGCCTTGGTGCATGTAGAATCAGCTGCCTTCTCCACCCTGGATTTTATTTACTATCTACTGGTGTAATGAGAAGGAAAGGGACAGATGTGAAGATGGCATTAGGGACCACGGACAGATGGGTATTTTGGGTTATGACAGCTCAGCTTGATCTGGGCAATAAATTCAAAATCTTACACTCTGAGGGGCCCCATTGTTAGGTAGTAAACTTTTTCAGAAAATTGCAGATGAGATGTGCAGACATAAGTGAAGGTGTCTGTGAGGGGTTTGAGCTGAAAGATGCGCACAGAGAGAGCACCCACACCTGGAGACAGACAGGGCGGCTTCCCAGGGGCCGCCCGCTGCGCACTGGACCCCACACCTGAGGCTCAGCCCCTTCTTCTGCCGCTTGCTGGTCTTTTATTAGCAGTGTGCGTGTACTTCAGAATTGCTCTGAAAGTGACCACTTTGAATGATCAAATGTTTTTCTCTAATTGGCTGCTGTCTTTGATGATGATTGGAGGGGATGAGACAGAAATGTAGCAGTTTGAGAAACCTGGGCCCCTCTGTTAACTGTTCCTTGTTACAGTGCTTCCTACTGACTACTGCACATTCACTGAAGTTGGCCTCAGGAAGTTGCTTCGCTCAGCAACTGGGGGCAATCGGAGGCCACTAGGGAGACAGAGCAGAGCTGTGCCCTAGAGACGCAGATGGAGCAGAAGGAACCCCTTCCTCTGCTGAAGCCAAGACTCATGACGCTGACCTCTTGACAGCAGTGGGAGTTGGCCATGAGCTCTGGGCCTGGGGAAGGATACACAGGGCCTGGCGTGCTACTCTGCAGAATCCTCCCTGAGCCAGCAGCAGACTGCACAGGCGAGCACTCCTGACTCTGAGGACTGCGGCTGCCTCGGCTGTGGAAGGGGGGCTCCTGGAGGCAGGTGGGGAGAGAGGGGTCTAGGTGTCTCCTCTCACGTGGAGAAGCAGGTGCCAGGATACGGGAAGGGGACAGCCCACCATTTACCAAGCCTGTTTCTGATGCACTCCATCTGAAACTGCTTTTTATACAGGAGAGGGAGGAACAGGAGGCTGGGGCCTCAATTTCAATCCGGGTATAAGGCAGCACTTACTCTCTGCCACATCCATGATGTGGATTTTTGGGGGCATTTTTTCATTCACAGCAGTTGGGATTTTTATTTAAAGCATATATTACTTCTGGTGTCTGTAGGCTTTTCAGGATGGGGACTCTTGCCTTTTTTATTATTTCACTCCTCCCTTTCCTGGACTGAAAATGTGCCCAATATGTATTACTGAGCCTGGGGGCGGGTGACAGTCATGGTGGAACCTGGTAATTCTCATGGTTATTCATAGAGAATGATTCTTTGATCCAGGGAGATAGCTTAGTGTCACAGCACCTGCGTGATAAGTGCAAGATCCTGAGTTTGATTCCCGGTACCAAAAAAAAAGAAAGAAAGAAGGAAAAGAAAATGATTCTTTTGTGCTTGCATAGAAGTTACACAAGTGCTATATACTTCCACTCACTGCAGTCTCCCAATACAAGCACAGCATACAGCACCATCACTAGCTCATGAATGAATTTTGGGTCTTAGAAAAGTCAGGAAATATATTCAGGTCTGGCAGCAAGAAGCAGAGACCACGAGGTATCTCCCCACATTGAATAGTCGGCTCATCTCTGTGGCCAGTTGGCAGTTTATGACCACAAGCCTCACTGAATAATTTACTCGTAAACTAGTTTCAGCATTTAATAGCAGGCTTTGTGCTGGTCATTTAGACATCAGACAGAAAACACAGCTCTCAGGTGTTCTCACTGCCCAAGGGAAGAAGGAAGCAGATGCACAAGTCACAAAGCCAGGTGCTCTCAAGGAAAGTGCAGGAGACAAAAGTCTAGGCTGATTTGTGAGTGCTGGGCAGCTGGGAGCTATGAAGGATGAGGTTGTTAAAAACACCATCCTCGATACACTGCATATATTCTTGAGACAAGCTAAGCACCAGTGTTACACTTACTGGGGAGAGGAGTTAAGAATTCTTCAGCAATAACTGAAAAGGAGGAGTGTATGCTAAGTTTAGGAGGACAAATGGAATTAATGTTGGCATATGAAGATATATCTCTATCTTATGTTTTAGAAGGAAATAAGCAAAACAGATTTCTCTTCCAAAGCTCATTTTTAATATGTGGAAGAAAAAGAAGCACAGAAATGGGGATGCTATTTACAAAGTGGTTTTGAAAATCACAACATGAGACATGAGATGCCTTGACATGCAGGGTGAGGCATTGTGATTATGCAGATCACTAGATCTCACAGATTTCCAAAGACAGAATAGGTAAGATGTGTTCCTGGGTGGAGTCCATAGGACCAGTGTCAGAGTTGGAAATGCTTTCTCTGGGGCCCTATCGGGGGCATACTCTCAGGAGAAATGGAGATGAAGAACGAGGTGAGAGAAAAACATCAGCTTCCGTCTGATCTCACTTACGTTTGAAGCGTGGAAGCACAGCCTTCACCACAGAGTTAGTTAGTGCTACCCTGAGGCAAAAGGCTGACGTTTCTCCTCCCCGACTAAGCCTCCTCTGTCACTTTCAGCCACAGCTCCCCCCGCAGGTTGGGAGAGAACAATTAGGCAGATGACTTCTTCTGGGGAACTACTCTGCTGGGATAACCGCAATTCTTGGGAGAAGCTCTATTTCTATTCAGTGAACTCCCACTCATCAAGGCACCAGTATTTGTGTGAAGGCTTAGCGAACCTCAGATGCGCACAGAGAACCCACTGACAGAACGTGATTGGTTGAGCGTGAGAGTAGAGAGCAAGGAGGATCTGAGCCAATACTCGGGATAATGGCTGAGACATCAGGTGTTGCTGTTCTTGGTTTAGTTTTTTCCTAGAAGAAAAGCAGCTTATACAGTTAGGGCATGAGGGACACAAGGCAGAATTTCTTGGAGAGCAAACACGAGCATGGTGAGAGTGGGAAGGCATCAGCATGGAGTTTGTGTTCGCAGTGTCGTTATCACTGTGTCCACGTCAGTGGAAGGAAAGCAAATAAAAAAAAAAAAAAGAACAAAATCAGGTACAGACCGGGACAGAACCATGTACATGAGCATCTTCCAGAAACCGTTCTTTTCAGTAGCGTTAACAGATAGAATTTATAGAAAAGAAGCATGTCATCTTTGATTATTTGTGTTTCTCCAAAGGTTTTTTGAGAGTGGTCTGTGATTCAGAAGATGCTTTGGATGAACCTCATTCAGGGAATAATCTTCCTTTCTCTTACTGGACCTGGAATTTGGGGGAACATCTTCATATTCATAAGACATTTATATATTTTTGCTTTGATCCCTGAGAAAAAACCTATAGGTTTTATTATCATTCACCTGGCTTTTTCAAATGCAGTCATTATTTGTACCACAGGAATCAGAGACATAGTGCCAGCTTTCTACTTCAGAAACTTCCTAGGTAGTGTTGGTTGTAAAGCTGTGGTTTACCTGGGACGCATGGCCCGGGGCCTCTCCATCTGCACCACCTGTCTCCTCAGCGTGGTCCAGGCCGTCACCATCAGTCCCAGGGCCACGCTGTGGGGAAAGCTCAAGCCACAGACTGCATGGCAAGTTCTTCCCTATTTCTTCCTTTTCTGGATTTCTAATCTTCTGCTAAGCTCCAACTTGCTCCACTACATCACAGCAGTCAGTAGCATGAACAGATCTGAAATTGGAATGTACGCTGGGCACTGTTACTTGCTATCATCCAGACAAACAGTCCGCTGGCTTTTCCTCTCTCTCATGGCTCTTCGGGATGTCCTCTTTCAGGGACTCATGGGCTGGAGCAGTGGACTCATGGCTTTCCGCCTGTACGAACATCACCAGCGCGTGCTCTACCTGCACAGCTCCCGGCTGGCAGTGAATTCCAGCCCCGAAATCAGAGCTACACTAAGTACTGTCATTCTCATGACCTGTTTCCTTTTCTTTTTTTGGACAGATTTCATTTTTTCCTTCTACATAGGTTCCACTGTGAGCAATGAAACCACACTCCTGTATATTAAAATATTTCTAGAGCTCGGCTATGCGGTTCTCAGCCCCTTTGTGCTGATGAGCAGGGATGCTAGTGGCGCTAAACGCTGGCGAGCACAGTGAGAAGTGCATGGAACGACCTTCCACGCCCGTTCCTCCATAAACTAATGGTCTCTGTGTCAGGGATTGATTTGCCTAATGCTGGACTATTTCAAAAGTTGCTTTAATAAACATTGAGAGCAATACAAACACTTTTATTATTATTATTACTTTTTTTAAAAAAAAAGCCTGGAACTAGGCAGTTTAAGGCTGATCACAAGATCCCCGAAAGTTGGAAAGACAGCTTCTTAGGAATCTCCCTTTTCCCCTGCTGCGCAAAAATAGTGCAGGCCTCGCTTTTCGTACATCTGTACTTCCGGACCCTCTGAAGATCCTTTACTCCAAGGGGAACCTGGGGCAATTCCGTTCCCACCTTTGTGCTCCCTAAGTGGGGCTCAGCGCTCATTGGATCAGGGAGGTCACCCCGCGCTTAGTATCGGCCTGCTCTGCCCGCTCAGGCTCTACCAGGGAGCATGAAAGGAGGACAGGGAGAGGGCGAGGTGCGCCCTGTCACCTGCTTCTGCTGGTGGGTGAAGAACTAACTAGCCGCTGTTTCACGGGTCAGGGACTCCCTGTTGATCGCTTAACTTTGCAGGCTTCCGGAAGCGCTAAGAACACTGAGGGTCACGGCTGGATGGGGAAGCCCCGAGCTATGCTGGGCTGCGAGAAGCGGGCTCCAGGCCCAGCTCCCGCGCATCCTCCGCGCCCTCCACTCCGGCCCCGCAGCTCCTCAGCCGATCGCCCCCGCGCAGCCCCCTCACCTGTCCTCACCTCAAGGCTCCAGAGGAACACCGGGGCCTTTGCTCTTGCGCGGGTGACGGCGGCCCAGGGCTCCGGGCGAGGGCGGCCAGGGTCCATCGCGGACCCGCAGGGACCCCGTCCTCCACGCGCCCGGCGCCGGCTCCCCGGAACCCGGGTGGACGCCCCCTTCGGCAGCGCAGGCGTCCCCGGCTCTGAGACCCGAGCCCCGTCTGCAGCAGGTTCAGAGGGACCGTCCGGGAGGCGGGGACCGGATCTGCAGCGGGAGCCGCAGCTCAGCTCGTCCTCGAGCCGCGGGCCGCGTGGACAGGACACGCACCTCCCCGGGCCCGGAGCCTCTGCGCGGAAGCGAGCTGGCTTTCGGCGTGGGCAGCCGGTCCCGCGCAGGCTGCGGCGGCGCCGAGC